TTAAATATTATATTATATTTATTTTATAATTGTACATATATATATTAAATTTTGATAATCTATAAATAATATTTTATTTTAATTTTAGTATTATAAAATTATAAAATTATATTTATTATTAATTATTATTATTATTATTTTATTAATATCAATTTAATTTTAATTAAAGTTTAACCATTAAATCTAACTATAACAATTTTTTTTTCAAATTAAAAAATTTCACTGCATAATAGATAAAAATGTGTTGAAACTATGGCCCACAACATACAGTAATTTCAGTACCTAAAACTGCATCAAGTTTGAAGAAGAACAAATATCAATTAATGAACCTGGTAAAACCCTTGGTTTTTGCTGTCCCTCTATGGCAGAGTTAGTCTGAGGTGCTGTTCTTTCTTTGTCATGTCCCTCTGTCTCATCATTTCATTGTCCCCTTCAGCTCTCTCCTGTCATAGACATTGCTAATATGTACCCCAACCTGAGGCCATCACCATCTCTGACTTGTGACAAACAATTTCTTATACTCAAACTGCAAATTCCATCATATCATGCATGTATGTACTCTCTTAAGGGTAACAAAAAAACCAAAGTAAAATAACTTGGTTTCTCTCTGTCTTGAATTGTTAATGAGAAAGTTAGAGCAACAAACAAGGGGTGCTAAAACTTTTTTGCTTTGATGATGGGTGTGGAAGCCACAACTCCAATGGTGTCACCCTTTAATACTCAGAGACCTGAGCATTGGGAGCATTTTGATGACTCAGTAAATGCAGTGTCTTTTGGGTTTGTTGCCACTGCCATCCTCATTTCTATGTTTCTTCTTTTGGCTATCTTTGAGAGGTTTCTTAGGCAAAGATCAAGTGAAGCCAATGTTGCAACTCCAATAGATCTTGAACACCAAATCGACTTTGGAGGAAAGTTGGAAAATCTATCACCTAAGGTGCACTTTAACCTCCCTTTTGTTGATTTCATTTACTTCTAGTGCAATTGATTCACTATGATGGTGAAAATGTGACTTTTTTCTCTCCTCTTTTTACGTTCCTTTCATGCTTCCACAATGATGCAGTTATGACCATATTTTTTTCCTTGACTTTGGATGTGCGTGGGAAATAAAGTCACCAACTTGCATACCAAACAAGTAATGATGTTAAACCGCTAACTTATTGAATTCACTATATATGTAATTGTAAACCATCATGTACTAGATTTTTCTTGCCGTGTTCCATTGTCGAGCTGAAAAAGATTTCAGTTATGCAATGTGGCAATTGTGATTGGCAAAGTGAAAACATTTTTGCCCTGAAAATCTTGTTTCAAAGAGTTCGAATTTTAGTGGTATTTAGGTTTCAAACATCTGATGACAAGAGAAATTTCCTTTAAGAGGAATTTCTTGATATATGTTTTCTATAATCTGATGGTTTAATAGCTTAGCTTTTTCTTTTTTTTTTTTTTTTCTGTTGGACTATGTCGCTACTATTATGCAATAGTAATTTTTGTTTCATTTTTTATTTCTGTAATGACTTTTGGTGATTGCAAACGTTGTTGAAGCATGAATTAATAAAATTATACCTTTGCCTTTAAAAAAAAAATCTGATGGCAAGGTATCATCCACATTTGTAGTTAATTAATCCACAACCAACTTTCTAACCATGATTTTGTATGAACAGAAAAGTCATGAAGGAGATACAATTTATGGTGTGTTTTTGTCTGTTCATACTTGTTTGTTTGTCTTATGAAAATTGCTATATGTTAAACAGTTACAGTAAGCATGTGTTTTCCTTTCTAATGGGTAATGGCAGAGTAGAAAAGCAATTGTGTCAAACATCTGGAACCTAATTTATTCTCAAGTGCTACTAATTGTAATATAAAAAAATCATTGAGCAGTGCTTACTCATTAACTATTCCATACTATTTAAAGCACAAAAGATAAATTCATCTCTCAAATTGGGCAAATTAGCGTTCCAACTTATACTATGTGGGGTGGACATTTGAGCTATTGCTCATTGTCTTGGTTTTTCTAGTAAAGGGGACTAAATTCTGTCACACTTGATTATTGTTTTATGCGTCTTATTCAGACTACAGAGGACTACGATTTCTTTTCTAGCAACCAGTCTTGAGTGCACAATAAACCATTACCAATCCACCAGATGATTGCATTACAATGCTTGACAAAAATACCATATATACTTTATGTTTGAAGATTGAATTCTATTTCTTAAAGAAGTGGTCAGTTTGGTGGTGTGATGATTGCAGCATTACATTCCTATTGACATTCCTTTGGTGATGGCCACTTCTGCATGTGCCAACACTTTGCTACACTTTGAAGGCAATGCTTAAGCACGTGTAGAACATAATGATATCTACCAGTTAAACTTTTACAAACTAAAGAGTAGTCTAATGAGTTTAATTCAAATATAAAATGTTTAATCAATTGGATATCATTTTTAGTAGTCAATATAATTGGTATATATGGTGACTTGTGATTAAATGTGGGTGTGACACTCCTTTATACTGACAATAGGATTCTATCTTTATTTCATCTCATTGGTCAATTTTTCAAATTACGATGGAGTGAATGACTTGATCAATGAATATTTCATTTTTTCTTCAACTTGGAATCTGATTCACATCTTTCATTTGAGAACATTTTTATCACAAATGGGATCACTACATACCCTATATTTTTTTTCATATTATTATTAAATTATAACGTAAGAAACTGACATTTACTTGTGTTCATGTTAATTAGATGACCATTTATAGAAGAGGTGTATTAGTGCTGATGCCAGGAGAGAAGATTCCTACATTCATTGCACTTCCAGCTCCTACACCATGTGGTCGCGAACCCATTTCATGGCCAATTCAACGTAGTTCAGGCTCCCCTGAACCTTTAGCATCAATGAGAGACTATAATCTAACCAGTAACTAGAAATATGATGGTTCATCCCTTTTGATATGTGGCAACAATTAAGGTCATATCATTTAGCAGTGTGCAAAATTAAAGCCTCTGGTATGAGATTATCATTCATGGGCATCACTTGGATCATAAAAATAGCAGAATGCATCTCTTTCCCACACAATTGAAACCCCTTTTACCCCCAATTACTTGTGTGGATCTGCTACTTAAAGTCATGTAAAAGTTTTGTACATATTATGAAGCACAATTGCATTGTAATTTTCAGTGGAAGCGTGAAATTTCTCAAGTTCCATTTTTCAAGGAAGTTATGGTCGAAGTTAGATGCCTTTTGTGGGTTATGATGCAGAATTGTGTGGTGCTCAATAGGGATGGCAAAAATACCCATATCCGCTAGTAATATCCGAACCCGTTCCGACTTTGACGGGGAATACCCAGTTTGACCGGGTACGGGTACAGGTACGGGTACGGATAAAATTTGATATATTAAATCGGGTACGGGTATGTACTTACTCGTCCCGTACCCGTATCCATCCTCATTCCCATTTTTAATTTAATATCTACTTTCAATTTAATTATATTAAAGAATTTTAATATTTTTTATGTGTAATTATTTATTATAATATGAGATAAAGAAATAACTTAATTATAATTATAATATAATTAAAAAAATAATATAAAAATATTATATTTTTAAAAAATAAAAAATAAAAATTTTGACGGGTACGGGTACGGGTATACCCAATACTCGACGGAGATGGAGATGGGAATGAAAATCACATACCCGACGGGTATGGGAACGGAGATGAGTTTGGCTCGCGAGGACGGAGACGGGTATCATGAAACCCGTACTCGCCCCGCCTCGTTGCCATCCCTGGTGCTGAAGTGAGTAATTTGTTGTTTTCATCTGTCAAAGTGAGTCGAAGATCATTCATTACACGTCCTCTTCGGAGGCACCATTATTAACAAAACATAGTAATGGATAAAATGAAAAGACCTATAGGTTGCATGATACTTTTGTTATTGGTTGTTGTGGGAATCAAGAAACAATGATAATAATCTGCCTCAATATTGAGTTTACTCATGTTAAAATCTCCTATGGGTTTGGAAATTCAATAAAAAGTGATCAATAAAATGTGATATTTACATGATTTTTACTTGATTTTTTATTGTAAAATAATTAAACACAAAACAAGGAAACTAATAAAAGAAATACTTTCGTTAATTTTATATAAAAAATTGAAAAAAATTAAAGTAAAAATAAATTGATATTTTTTATTTATTATAAGTAATTTAAACTATGAAACTATTATTTTTAATTATTAATAATTTTTATAGAATATTAAAGTTTAATTTATAAAAAAAATATTAGAAATTAAAAAAAAAAATAGGTAAGATGTTAAAAGAGTTTATAAAAATGTTTTGTCCAACTCTTAAATATTATTGGACAAGATAACTTTTGCATTAAAAGAATTAGATAAATAAATAAATTATAAAAAAAAGTTAAAAAAAAATCTTATAAACATTCAAGAACAATCCCTAAAATTTTTTTAGTATATAAAAGATAGTCTTTCATATTTAGTATAAAGGAGTTGATATGTTAAAGATTGCTCCAAAATAAGTGAGATCTAAAGAGATAATTTTTTAATAAAAATTAACAATAATTTTTTTTGTCGGACATTATTTTTTTTTACCTGCTCTATATATAAGTTTGAAGTGAATTTTAATTGTAATTAAAGATATATTTTTAGAATTTTTGATTAAACCAAAAACAAATATACATGTATTAATTTTTACTAAATTGCTATTTTTTAATTTTTTGATTTATAATAAAAGTGAATTAACTACAAACTATTCCATTCTTCATTAGATGTATTTTTTACAATCCATTCCATTCATTATAAAATGTTAAGACGTGACATTTATAAGAATAATAATTAATTAATTATGACTCAAATGATTTATTTTTTTTTGACAGAAGTCATAAATGAAAAAATATTAACTGAAAAACCATACCCTTGTTTATTATGTGTAACTTTTGGACTTGTTTCAATATTTTAATATTGAGGTCACTAATATTTTTTCCTCTAATTATTATATTATACAAATAAGTTTATTATCTTAAAATCGATTTTTTTTATATTTTAAAAATGTAAAAAATGAAGAGAAGTAACACATTATAAATATTATTTAATACAAGTAAACTTTTTTTAAACAAAATAAATATATGTATTCAGTTTTTGTTTCGATTTATATTATATAATACAAAATTTTATTTAAATTTAACACTTTCTTGGTATGAAAAAATATTTTTATTTAAATTAAAACATGTAAAAATGTGTATAATAAGGATAAACACACTAACATCGTGTTTGGTTGTGAATGAAGAAACAAGTGAAAAATAGAATAAAAAAAATAGGAGAGAGGAGAATAAGAAAATACAAATAGATAAAAAAAAAATATTATAGAAATAAGATTGTTTGATTTGAAATAAATAGATTTAAAAAATAGAAAAAAAATAATATTATAAAATTATTTGATTTGAATGAATAAAAAAAAAATATCATAATTAATAATAAAATTATAATATTACTCTTCCAATAAAATTGTTTATTCAAACAAAATCACTTTTCTAGAAGTGGGTTCGAATAAACATGTTTATTCGAATAAAACAACCACATTCTCATATATTCAAATAAAATAGTATAAATGAACTCATTAAAAAAAGAATCAAATACGTTCAAATATAGCTAACTATTCAACTAAAATCAATATTTACAAAAACATTTTATTCAAATAAAGTAATCACTTATTTAAATACACACACACTTTATTCAAATTAGTGAGATCAAGGTACTTCGTACCTCTATTAAAAATATAATTAAAATAAAATAAAATAATAAAAATATATTAATCTAATTGATATTATGATTAATCCATTAATTTCAAGTTTTTAAATTTGATTAAAAAATATTTTCTAATTTTTTAAAATAAAAGGATATAGTGGACAAAAAAAAGTAAAGACCAGGGTAATATCCCTTTTATATATTAGTATGATAAGATATCCTACTATTCAAACGAAATATCTTTCCATTTGAATCAAACAAAAATCATTCAAATAAATCACAATATATTCAAGTAAAAAATGCTATATAAAAAAATTATGCTCTCCCATTCAAATAAAACAACACTCATTCGAATAAATCAAAGTTTCATTCCAATATGAAACCATTTACATGTACTGAAAACAATTTATTCGAATAAAATCTCCCCATTCAAATAAATCACAGTTTCATTCGAATATGAAATCTTTTATTCGAATACATGCGTTGTGGTTCGAATAACAAACAATTTATTCGAATACCAACTCTTCAAGACACCCATTGAAATAAATAAAATACTCCCATTGGATTTTGAACACCTTGCTCTCTGTTATTTTGTTTTATTCCATTTCTTTATTTGTCCCAATTATAACGACAAGCTTTATAATATTAATAATTATTTTTCTATTTTTATTTTTATGGTGTGCTAAGAATGTGAGAGTTGATATTCGAATGAGAGTTAGTATTCAAATGAGAAAGTACTTTTTATCTCTTTATAGCTATACTATTCAAATGAGAGAAGGAAATGTGAGTTGGTGAGAAAGTTATGACACAAGGATAAAGGTGTAAAAACAAAACTTTATAACAAATGCTTCTTTATTTCACCTACTTTTTAAAATGATATGTCTGGAAATTTTTCCTTTGATAGATTTCTTATATAATAAACCCAATAACTTATTTCTCCGAATAAATTTTTTTGCTCTCTCCTATTTTGTAGTCGTTACTATTCAACCAAACACAGTGTAATGGTTTATTCACTATTTAGCATTCTCGTAATCTTAGTGTGACATGAAGTTTCTCTCTATCTTTCTTGCTTGTCATTGGGGTTACATACACTTTCTCAGTGACTGTGCCACAAGCAACATTACTTGCACACTTTCCTTCCACAAATACAAGACAATCCACGCCAATCTCAATAACCCAAAAGAAAAGACCCTTATTCCCCCATCCCCATAAAGGTAAGGATTAAAGAAAACGCCAAAACTCTCCAATTTCGAGAACTATTTTGCTTCATAAGCAAGAACTCGGAGACAACGAAAATATAACAGAGATAACCTCTTTTTTCTTTTTCTTTTAATAAATATGTCCATGCATGTATTCCTTGATGTGATTAATACGAAATGACAAGAAACTTTTTTCTGAAAAAATATGGTATGAAAGAGTAGGACTCATTTGAATATTTTATTTACAGGAGTAATTTAATTTGTGATTAAGGAGTGACTCCCGGAAGAACAAAAAACGAAGCACAAAAGCTCCACCGTTTTAACTTTATAACAAAGCCCTTCTTAAAAAGTCAAAAAGTAAAAGTGCTAACGAAAACGAAAGCGACGCCATGTGAAATCGCTTCTAGAATTCCAAAAACCTCGAAAAACGTGCTTCTACAGAAAAATAAAGCACTCCATCGAAACATGCGGGTTTTCCAAGCACTCCTCCTGAGAAACGACGTCGTTTTTCTCCGCAACTTCTTCACTTTCATTCATCTTCTCTTTCTCTTTCTCCTTCTCCATAGCATTCGCCGGCGCAGCCTCTTTCCGACCTCCCACGACCCCCACCTTTCCCGCTCTACCACAAGCCGGCGACCTCGACCGCCGCCCGGAACCCTCGCCGGGGTCACGCCGGAGCGCGGCGGCTCCGGCATTGCGCCGCCGATTCGACGCCGGGCCGGAATCCCTCCCCCGGAGTGGCCTCGGACCGGGCTTGATTTTCTTTTCTGGCGACGGCTCCGGCCGCCTCGCCGGCGACTTGAGCCTCCGGTCTCTCCCGGCGGCGAGGGTGGCGTCGGCGGCGTGGGGCCTCTTCCTGGACGGAGAACGGTCCCACTTGTGAGCCTTGCTGGTTGCTTCGTCTTCTTCTCTCTTGTCCGTAACCGTGACGGTGGTGGTTGTGGCGGTGGTGGCGGTGGCGGTGGAGAAGCTCTCGCTCATGCTGCATGTTTCCGAGAGGTGAGACACAACCTCGGAGACTTCTTCGACGGGGTCAGTTTTTGGGAAATTGGGTGGTGGGTTTTGGGGGAGGGGCAAATGGGTGTTTGTCTCCGGCGTCAAAATTGGAACTTGTTGAGGTTTGAAAATTGGGGTCTCGGAGAGGACCTCTTTGACGGATTCCTCTTCTAAGGGTGGGGGCGGTGGTTGATAGTGGTGGTGGTTTTTGTTTGGGGTTTGGGATTGGGTGGTGGGTGTGCTGAAGCAGCAGCCCATGGTTGAGTTTAGAATGTTGGGGTGGGGCAGTGAGGGGAAGAGAGTGTTGGAGTTTGCATGGGTTTGAAAATGTGACAAAAAGACAAAAAGTGTAACGGCTATTGAAATATTTGTAGGGTTTGAGGGATGAATAGGACTGTGGTTCGTAAGGATGACAATAACTTCCAGACAAAATTGATGTGTGAGTGTGACCACTCACTGCATCACTGTTGTGTTGTGGTGTGGTGAGACCAAACAAGCAAGGGTGAATGGGTGTAATAACAAAGAAGCAAGATTGTTTTGTAGAGGTTGAGCAAGAGTAAATGTGAACTTAGAGGAATTTTTTACTGAAATAAAATTTTTTAAACTTTTTTTTTACCAAAACAGCACCTATTTTAATTTATTTATAGAAGTAGCACCTTTTATTGTTCACACTCACTATTCGATTTCCGGAAAATTGAATTCTGAACTTCAATTCTTTTTGTTTTTTTTTTTCAAAATTCGGTTCCTTGAGAACCGAATTCTGAGTAGTGTTTAATTTATATTTTTTTTGTTTATAGTTCGAGTTGTGTATTAATGTTGCAACTGGAACGACTCGTTCTCCAAGCAGAACGGGCTGTTCTGCTTGCACGCGTAGTCTGTTAATTTTGAAATTGGAACATCCAAGCAGAACGGCCCGTTTTGATCCATTCGTCATGTGTGTATTTTTTATTCGGAACGACCCGTTCTGCAAGAAGAACGACCGTTCTCCTTTTAGAATGGGCCGTTCCGGATCCAGTTTTATACCATGCTCAGATTCAAAAATGCAAAAAAAAAAAAATTAACAACTTGGAATTCGGTTCCCCGAGAACCGAATTCTGGACGTGAACAGTGAAAGGTGCTATTTGGGTAAATAAAGTGGTACAAGTACTTTTTTGGTAATTTTTTTTTTTAAAAAAATTATTTTAGTGAAAAATTCGAACTTAGAGAGCCAAGACTAGGAGAATAATTTTTTATCTTAATAAAAATGCATAATTAGATACTAATAAAAAAAAGACATTTCGAGCATCAATGTATTTTATTTAAAAAATGATGGAATAAAAAATATTGCAAAAAAAAAAAACGATGGAGATGAGATGCCCGGGAACAAAATAGCATGATTGTGCAGCTATTTTTTTTTACCGTGAGAGTTAAGGGAGAGTAATGCAGGTTTTGCCCTGCACCAGTTTCTTTATATCATAGTAAAGATTATAAATATCAGTAATTTCTTAACTATCATTTATTTATCTATATTTTAAATAATACATTACGGGTTAAAATAGAGTTCAGTTGACGTAATATTAATTAGTTTTGTAATAGTTTTAGGATAAAAATTAACATATTTGATTGTATTTTCAATTTATATGTTTAGTAAGCTAGATATATTTTGTAACAATCAAATAAATATTTGTAACCAATTAATTAAATCATTTGAATTGATTTAATTAGTTATTTGATTGATTGGAATTTTTATTTTAATTAACTATAAAATTTATTAAAATGTCATTTTCAATATTGATGAGAATTCTATTGGGTATCTATTGATTAATACATGAGAAAGCAGTTCAGAGATACAATAGAAATAGTGAAATATCTAATGATAATGGAAAGGTTTAATTAATTTTTTGGTTATTATAATTTTATAAATTTATTTTTTATTTTATTCTTTATACATATATTTTTTTCTCCTTTCAGTTCAATTCATGCCGTCGTATAATGCTTTTCTTTTAATTATTATAGTTGTATAAAAATTTTCTTTTAATCTCAATAAAATAAATGGCATGGCCAAAGAAAAACAAAAATGATATGTATAAAAAGTAAAATGAAATATTTTTAACTATAAAAATTAAAAGATAAAATTTGTAAAACTATAAAAAAAAAAAAAAAATTAAACCTAATAGAAATTTGTAGCTACTTATGATGTTTTTAACTATTGTCTCATGTATCAATAAACATGTGCATAGTCTTAAAAAAATACTATTGTCCAATATCATATACTGTGTTGATAGTTAAGTTCTTGCAACTATATGCAAGGTAGATGCCCAAGGAAAAAAAAAATCATCGGGAATTAGTGTGTTATGTTAATCCAAAGGGTTGTAACTTACTCTCTCCTTATTTGAAAAGGAAATAAAAAAAATGAAAAAGGATTTTTATTTAGGTTATTTAGATATGAAAAATGAAAAATGAAAAGGAAAAAATACTTTCACTTATTTAGTTAAATAGAAAAATAAAATGTAAGGGAATATAATTACGTTAAACAACATTTAGACCTTTATAATATAGGAAATTTGTCATTATATATACTAGAAGCTCTTGTTTCTGTCGTGGATTCTTGTGAATTTGAAGAAAAGATTTTGAATGCAGATCCACCAAAAACAATTTTCTTCCCTGTATGCTACTGAATTCAAGCAAGAAAAAGCTATGATGGAGTTAGTTTTCTCTTCTTTCTCTCGTCGATTTTTCCCAATTTGGAGAAAGATTTTGAATGGAGACCCCGAACGAAATAACTTTTTCTTCTTCCCTATTTATTGCTGAATTTAAGCAAGAGAAATTACGATTAACTTTGTTCTCATTCTTCTTTTTCTTCTTCCTTTTTTTTATATATATATATATATATTTTTTTTTATCTTTCTTTCCAAACTCTGCCCAACAGGTTGTAGTCCTTCAGTTTCCCAGTGTCTTGAAAAAAAACCATATTCTATAAGAGAGTCGTTTGCATCCCACAAAAACTTTGGAATACAAGCTTCTGATTTAAAAAATAAAAATAAAAATTAGGCACAATTACTTTTTTTTTGTCTAATAATTGTGTGATTTCAGTCTCTTAAATTTTAATTGAATAATTTTAAATCATCAAATATTATAGTTGTACAATTTTGCTCTTTCAATTTTTAATTGAGCAATTTTAGTTATTAAAGTATCCAAATAATATAATTTTATATAATTTATGTCTCAAATATCATAATTATATAATTTTTTTATTTATTTAGATTACATATATTAATAATTTTAATAATATATATATATATATATAATAAAATAAATGGCATGGCCAAAGAAAAACAAAAATGATATGTATAAAAAGTAAAATGAAATATTTTTAACTATAAAAATTAAAAGATAAAATTTGTAAAACTATAAAAAAAAAAAAAAAATTAAACCTAATAGAAATTTGTAGCTACTTATGATGTTTTTAACTATTGTCTCATGTATCAATAAACATGTGCATAGTCTTAAAAAAATACTATTGTCCAATATCATATACTGTGTTGATAGTTAAGTTCTTGCAACTATATGCAAGGTAGATGCCCAAGGAAAAAAAAAATCATCGGGAATTAGTGTGTTATGTTAATCCAAAGGGTTGTAACTTACTCTCTCCTTATTTGAAAAGGAAATAAAAAAAATGAAAAAGGATTTTTATTTAGGTTATTTAGATATGAAAAATGAAAAATGAAAAGGAAAAAATACTTTCACTTATTTAGTTAAATAGAAAAATAAAATGTAAGGGAATATAATTACGTTAAACAACATTTAGACCTTTATAATATAGGAAATTTGTCATTATATATACTAGAAGCTCTTGTTTCTGTCGTGGATTCTTGTGAATTTGAAGAAAAGATTTTGAATGCAGATCCACCAAAAACAATTTTCTTCCCTGTATGCTACTGAATTCAAGCAAGAAAAAGCTATGATGGAGTTAGTTTTCTCTTCTTTCTCTCGTCGATTTTTCCCAATTTGGAGAAAGATTTTGAATGGAGACCCCGAACGAAATAACTTTTTCTTCTTCCCTATTTATTGCTGAATTTAAGCAAGAGAAATTACGATTAACTTTGTTCTCATTCTTCTTTTTCTTCTTCCTTTTTTTTATATATATATATATATATTTTTTTTTATCTTTCTTTCCAAACTCTGCCCAACAGGTTGTAGTCCTTCAGTTTCCCAGTGTCTTGAAAAAAAACCATATTCTATAAGAGAGTCGTTTGCATCCCACAAAAACTTTGGAATACAAGCTTCTGATTTAAAAAATAAAAATAAAAATTAGGCACAATTACTTTTTTTTTGTCTAATAATTGTGTGATTTCAGTCTCTTAAATTTTAATTGAATAATTTTAAATCATCAAATATTATAGTTGTACAATTTTGCTCTTTCAATTTTTAATTGAGCAATTTTAGTTATTAAAGTATCCAAATAATATAATTTTATATAATTTATGTCTCAAATATCATAATTATATAATTTTTTTATTTATTTAGATTACATATATTAATAATTTTAATAATATATATATATATATATATTTAATATATGAATGAAAATTATAATATTTAATTTTAATTGGTCAAAAATTATATAATTATGATATTTAAGAGACTACAATTATAGAATTGTGATACTTAAATAATTGAAATCATTTAATTAAAATTTGAGAAATCAAAACTACACAATCACAATGAGCAAAATTGCTTAATTAGAATTTTAGAAATCAAAATATAATTATAATATAAAAAGGATAATAACATTTAAGCAAAAAAAAAAATAATAATAATAACTTATAACTTATAAGACAGTAATGGTTTGGCCAACTCATCACATCAAAAGGTGAGTTTTAATCCCATGTGAAGACATACAGTTATATTGATAGGTAATTTTAACTATTCTTTTAACCGTGAGACGTAAGAGTTTGTTTGGATTTGATTTTTCATAAACATTTTAAGGAAAAAAAATAAATTAACTTTTTTTATAAATTAAAATTAGTTTATATATAAGTTAAAAATACAAAGTTAATATTTGAAAACTTTTACAAATTAAGTTATATATAAGAAAATGTTAACTTTTTGATTTTTTTTTTCTTAAAAGCATTTTTAGAAAAGTTTATTTACACATGTCCTACTATAATTCTTATAAGCTTATGGGAGCCAATACATTTATTTTTTTTTCTCAACTAAAAAAACCACTTACCGTTATAAAAAAAATAAATAAATGAAATAACTGTTCCTTCAATAAAACTTTGACACTTGCATTAAAAGTAACATGCGTTGCCACCTAATTCACCGTATCTTACAAGTTTTAATATCTCTCTGAAAGCCTGTTCTGTACCTTGTTGAAGAAACTTTCTTTGTATTTAGGCCCATTGGACCATTCTACTCAGCCCTTTATTTTACCCACTAGTTTTGAAGCCCAAAATTAGTGGTTTAGTTTTTTTACCCTGACCCATCATTTCAAAAAACCTGTGGGTCAGCCCACAGTTTATTTCTTTATTTCGCCATTTCTTTTTTATTTCAGAAAACATATGGGAC